AAGAATTTCCATTTTTTTAAATTTTATTTTTAAAATTTATTTAATCTTGTTAACATATTTTCTACGAGTATGACACATAATTCTTCAGGCATTAAAAATTATATAGATTGTATGATTAGGTAGTTCATGATTCCATTATAATTTAAGTTGGTTTACAATCAAAATTAAACAATCATTATTTGTGTGCCATAGCACAATCCAAAGACTGCACCAGTAATATTATGGCTGCAAGGTGGCCCAGGAGCAACTTCTATGTTTGGTCTTTTTATGGAAAATGGTCCATTTATAGTTACTGCTAACAAAACTTTGACAATGCGAAAATATTCATGGAATATAGCACACAATTTAATATATATTGACAATCCAGTTGGTACTGGATATAGTTTCACTGATGATGAAAGAGGATATGTAAAGAATGAAACACAAGTAGGAAAAGATATTCTTACTGCCTTGGTACAATTCTTTTTGTTATTCCCAGAGCTACAAAACAATAATTTTTTTGTCACTGGTGAATCATATGCTGGTAAATATGTACCAGCAGTGTCTTATACCATTAACAATTATAATGTCAAAGCAGAAACAAAAATTAACTTAAAAGGCCTTTCCATTGGTAACGGACTGTGTGATCCAGAGAATCAATTGCTATATAGCGATTATTTGTATCAACTCGGGCTGATAGATGAAAATGGGAAAACTCAATTTCAAGTATATGAAAACAAGGGTCGCGAGTTGATTAAACAGAAGAAATATCTCGAAGCATTTGAAATATTTGATACACTCCTTAATAGCGATCTAAATGGCACGCCATCCCTATTTCAAAATTTAACTGGTTTTGATTATTATTTCAACTATTTGTTTACGAAAGATGGCAATGATTCCGATTGGATGTCTGAATGGATTCAAAAAGCTAACGTCAGACATGCTATACACGTGGGCAATAGCACTTTTCATGTTGAAACCAAAACTGTCGAGGAACATTTAAAAGAAGACGTTATGCAATCCATAGTACCTTTATTGACAGATCTTCTGCAGCATTATAGAGTACTTATTTACAATGGACAATTAGATATTATCGTGGCATATCCACTCACGGAAAATTACTTAAAAAATTTACAATGGTCTGGAGCAGACAAGTATAAGAAAACGTCAAGAAAAATATGGATGGTTGGAAACAAAGTAGCGGGCTATACAAAAAGCGTTGACAATTTAACAGAAGTTCTCATACGAAATGCAGGTCATATGGTTCCTTCGGATCAACCGAAATGGGCATTAGATCTTATCACACGTTTTACCCATAATAAAAAGTTCTGATCTAAATAATTATGTGGATTATTATATTGAACGTATGTGATAACAGTTTTGAATTTTTTATTTTAAGATAAATTTTTTCTAATATGATATGTATGTATATATCTATAGGGAGTTATAAAATACATAGATCAAATATAACAAAAGTTTTAAAAAAGTTGTAAAAGTATTTGCCATTTGTTGTTCCGAACAATAATTTTTCAGACATTATAATGAAGACGTTAAAACTCAATTATAGATTACAATTAGATGACTATTATTTTTTTATCTTTATCTTGAACTATATATTTAACTTTTATCGTCTTCCACAAAATTACCGTTTAGCCGAACGATGTTTAATTGTAATCTATAATTGGCTTTTTAACTTTAATGTTTGATAAATTACTGCTCGGAGTGGCAAATACATAGCAAATATTTTTATATTTTTTCAAGAACATTCTTGTTATAATTCGCGAATGTTGGGACCTGTATATATAGACATTTAATAATATAAGGCAATTTTTGAGATGCTAACAATACTTAAGACACTCTTAAAATACTCTGAAAAATAGTCAAAGAAAAAATAATAGTCATAAAATAATAATTTTGTAATGGAAAATCTTTAATAAAGTTATTAATGAGTATAAAAGCTGTTCAAAAATTTTTCCTATTTACTTTATACATATAAATCTAAATAATTTACATTAAATAAATTTTCCTATTACAAGTAATTTACACTATTTTAATTTTCACTATTTTTAAATATATAGATTCAGACTTCATATTTTGTATATGGTACGTATAAAAAATTAAGTATATGTATAAAAAATCTTATTGTGTGCTACATACATTAACAAGCATATATATATATAGCATACAATTAGCATGCATGCACACAAAAACATGTGCACCCATACAGATATATGCATGGTGGAAGTATAAAAAGTACTCTTGCGCATTTTAAACATAAGAAGAACATAATATTCAGAAGCCGCCATGTTGCCGCGGTCTTTCCTTTGGAAATCGAAAAAAATGTAAATTTCTACATCCTATTTTTTCGGAAACTATTTGTACACGTTTTTGATACGTACTCATATCCAATATGTCACTTCAAAGTTATTGCGATGTAAATGTCTAAAATAACCGCATCTGGTTATGCACAGAACGGTCGATGAAATTAGTTACGAAATTAGTTTCGAAAACGAGCACACCTTTTTACTTCCACCACGGGTACATATCATAAATTTATATTAACCTATTTGAGTATAAAATGCGAGAAACAAAATATAAAAATAATGTTCTAATTTAAATTTGTTAGACATGGCAATATATATATATAACAAATAGTAATTTGTGATATAATATTTGTTATATATTTGGCAAGTTTTCAATTTTATTTTACTTAAATTTTATTTTATTTAGTCTAAGTATGGTAACAAAAATTGATCTACTATAGAAATATTTCTATGCCATTCAGTATGAGAAATTCCAGGCACTGTGATGATCTTTAACTTGCCTTGTTTATCTAACGTTTTTAAACCAATAGTATCAAATTTATAAATATTTCTATCACGCATGTCTATCACTGTGTTGTTATTGTCATAATATCCAAAATGACTGCTTTCCCATGGAGTGATAACGCCATCGTTCGGTCCTCCAATAAGTATCATATGTTTCAACTTAGTTAAACCTATTTTATAGTCAGAATTGTTGAAACTGTTGATTTCATTGTTCACATATGGTAGAAACTTGTTGTACTCATAATAAAATTCCTGAAAAAAAATGTATATTAGAATATACAATAATATACTTGATACATAAAATAAAAGTTAAAGTTAGTAACTTGATGATGAGGATCATTCCAATAATTTCCAACACTGGTGTATTGTCCAAGTCGTGAATAAAAGAGTTCATAAGCAGTCTCACAAGCTAAATCTGGGAAAATCAAACGCAGAAAACGTGCTGAAATCAGAATTTTATAATTAGAACAAAATCTTTGTTTTATTTTCTATTTGTATATCATAATATGCGTACTTCCGTATTGCCCCGCTTGCGGTGAACTTAAGGAAATAAAATTTCTAACATTATGCATAGGAAATCTTTGCAATATAGCTCTAGCTAATAAACCTCCTTGACTATAACCTATTAAATTAATCCCCTCAGGAAATGCAGCACCTATAGAAAGCACATCCATGCCTATTTCCTCTACCTGTTTCCACATTGGTTTTAGACTACTCCAGCCTGCGAATCTAACAGTGTTGTACACTGGAGTTCCAGGATGCATCTGTGAAGATATGTATATTAAATATAAAAAATTTTAATCTTTTTACAAAAATTCATATATCATAAATTATATATATATATATATTTTTTTTTTTCCGGTTATGTATATACACCTAAACTTTTTAAAT